GGGGGGACTCTGAATCGGAGTCCACCTTGCACAACAACTCGCTGTGGTGGCTGGCGTGTGGGATGTTAGCCCTGTTGGCCAACTCCTGGATTATCCTCAGCATCACGGCCAAACAACAGAAACACAAGCCCCTGGAGCTGCTGCTATGCTTCCTTGCTGGGACCCACATCCTCATGGCCGCCGTACCCCTCACCACCTATGCCGTGGTGCAGCTGCGGCGTGAGTCCTCTGACTACGACTGGAATGAAAGCATCTGCAAGGTCTTTGTCTCCACATACTACACCCTGGCGCTGGCCACCTGCTTCACAGTGGCCTCCCTTTCCTACCACCGCATGTGGATGGTGAGATGGCCAGTCAACTACCGGCTGAGCAACGCCAAGAAGCAAGCTCTGCACGCAGTCATGGGTATCTGGATGGTATCATTCATCCTCTCCACCCTGCCCTCCATCGGCTGGCACAACAACGGCGAGCGCTACTATGCCCGTGGCTGCCAGTTCATTGTCAGCAAGATAGGGCTGGGCTTCGGTGTCTGCTTCAGCCTCCTGCTGCTCGGAGGAATCGTCATGGGCTTGGTGTGCGTGGGCATCACTTTCTACCAGACCCTGTGGGCACACAGAAGACGCCAGCAGTGCCGCCATCAGAGGGCAGAGGAAGCGTCATCCTGCTCTTCATCAGCACACGCCACTTTCAACGTGCCGGCCATCGTAGTGGAGGACGTACGAGGCAAAAGGAGGTCTTCACTGGACGGCTCCGAGTCAGCCAAGACCTCCTTGCAGATGACCAACCTCATCAGCGCTATTGTCTTCCTGTATGACACACTCACTGGGGTGCCTATCTTGGTAAGCAGCGAGTTCTCCCTTTCCCTTCACAGAGTCCGCAGATAAACTAGATTTCCGTTCCTTTCAAGTTTTAGAGAGGAAACTCTGTCTTCTGTCCACCAGCCGCAGAGTTGCCGCATCTGAATCTGTGTTACTCTCAGGGCCGGTTTTAAAGAGATTGCAGTAATTCTCCCATCCTGCAGCAGCAGCATTTTCTTAAGAAAAGTCTAAGCCTGGGGAATACGCACCACACAGCTAAAACCACTGTGAAAGTTTTAAGTGGCTGAAGAGGAGGCTGGAGAGGAAATTATTCTGCAAATTTACAGGGGGATTTACCTCTGTAATGAAAACAATGAGATTTCTGTTTCTGCAGTTTGCTTTTGGAGAACTGATACACCAGCTTTAAAAGCTGTTGCAGACGGTTTTCACTCCTGCTTGTATGGTCATAGTCAGCATCCAGGTTTTGGCTGGCTGGTTGATTCTCTGCAAAACTGGAGAGCTGGGGAAGTTCTAAAAGGGAACCATCAAGAGAACAGAGGCTTAGTCATAGCTTTTTTTTTTCCAGTGGCTATGTCCTGGTTAGCACCTATTTAGCTCCAGCTCATAATGAGCATGGGGAGGAAGGGATGTTAACACCAGGTCTCATGTCAGAGATAGGACAGCTCAGAATATGGCCCAGCAAACCTGGGGCAACACCCCACGAACAGTTTTTCAAAGGGGCACGGGGTATTTACTTAATGAGTCCTTTACAGCCAGATTATATTCTACTACAGAACTGACTCCCGTTACCTTTCTGCCTTGATGCCCGCTTCTGTCTTCCTTCTCAGCGTTGTTTCTCTCTCTTACCTCCAAGGTCGTGAGCTTTTTCAGCCTGCGCTATGACACGGCGCCCACCTGGATGGTCCTGGCTGTGCTCTGGTGCTCCATGGTGCAGACTCTGCTGCTCCCCTCCTTCATCTGGTCCTGCGAGCGCTACCGAGCAGATCTGCGCACTGTGTGGGAGCAGTGTGTGGCCATCATGTCTGAGGAAGACGGAGATGACGGTAAGCGCCTCGCCACCCCACAGTCACCTTTCCTCACTAAGCCCCTCCGCAAAAGGAGGAAAGAGAGGTCTGCCCTAGGAACAGGACTCGATGGCAGTGGGAGCGATGTTGTGGGTGGGTAGGTGAGATTCATGTTATAGCTTGGAGTCAGCAACTATGACAAAATTTATTCTGGAGAAGGCTCTGCCACTCACTTGCTGCCTTAGGACTCACTAGCATCCAGGAAAAATTAGGGCAACATCCTGCACTGCAGATGTGAGAGCAGACCCGGTGTGTACAGCTGCCAAACCACAATGAAAGTGACACACGGGGCCTCAGCCCCACCTGCTGATGCAAAGGTCCAAGTTCTGGCAGTGGGAGACTCAACAGCGAGACAGAAGAAACAGGGCGGTCTGTCTCCGGGTCCTTTAGTGCTGCTGTAAGCAGAAAGACGAGGTCCTTGTTCAGAGGTGCGCCCTGAGGGCTGCAAGTAGGGTGGCAGAAGTCAGACAAGCATTGGGATTGCGTCCGGGTGCCCTGATAACGCTCCTCTTCTGGCTGAGAAGCGCTGACTGCCGTTCCCCTCTCTGCCAACAGATGGTGTGTGCGACGATTACGGCGATGGCAGGATCTGCAAAGTGAGATTTGATGCAAACGGTGCTGCAGCTGTGAAGCGGGACTCGCGGGACATCAAGCTGCTACCCATGCACCACATGTTGGTGCCCCAGGACAAGGTGCACTACCTGCAGGTGAGCCGAGAGCTAGCAGGGGCAGCCCCACTACCCGCTTCCTTCTCTGTCAGTCTCCCTCGCCTTCGTGTCCTCCTGACTCTCTTCTCTGAGAAGGCCTCAGCTACTCCCCTCCCGTTCTGTCTCTTTGAGTCTTCCATCATCTGCCTCCTCCGTTTTCCAGGTCCCTATCTCCCGGAGAATGTCACATGATGAGACTAACATCTTCTCCGCCCACCGGTCCGCTCCGTCCTTCCTGCACAAGTGGTCTTCATCTGACGACATCCGCATTTCCACCCCCCGCAAGTCTGGAGGCCCCATCTTCTTGCCTCCTCAGCTGCATGACTACCAGCACCGCCGGCGGCCCCCAGAAGACGAGCTGACGACCCTACGGCAGTTTTTTGGGGGGGGGGTTTTTCCCCCGGGCTCCAGCGT